TTACCCATTTTTTATTCAGCTGTTTATAATTATTATTACTTGTTTTTTTAACTCATTTTCCCTAATAATTTGTTGAGAAAACACGATGATATATCTGATATTTGAGATGGCTGTATCTCGGTAAATATGGGTGCTTGAGCCTTGATATTGAAAATTAGCAAAGAAAGCCTTTACAGAAAGAAATGTAAATTGCTGTGGTAAACACAATGGTACCATTTTCAAAACGATTCTATGGCTGGTTTTGATTTTGAGTTTTGAGAAAAATAACGATTTCGCCCGGGCTGCGATTCTTTGCTGGCAAACGGCTGTGTGGCAGAAAATGTAAGCTCCTCAACAAAGTGACGTACTGTCCCGTTTTCTGAGTTTGGTCCTCTGGTAGGTTAGAGAAGAAGAGGACGGGTGTTGGGGAGAGTTGGGGGGTTGGGGTGGGGGCAGGGGTTGGGGAGAGTGGGGGGGTTGGGGGGTTGGGGAAAGTGCTGGCTGAGAAAGCCCTGGGGAACACAGTGTTTAACTTAGAATTGGTAATGAAAGCCTTACTAGCGTAAGGTCATTAGTGGTTAATTGTCTAAATGTCAAGACGGTCTTAATGATTCACACTGGACAGCAGCAGAAACAGTGGTGATGGTAGTAGTCCCAATAAGAGTAGCAGCAGAAGCAGAGATGGCAGCAGCAGCAGCAGAGATGACAGCAGTAGCAGCAGCAGCAGAAGAAGCAGAGATTACAGCAGCAGCAGTAGAAGAAGCAGAGATTACAGCAGCAGCAGCAGTAGCAGCAGAGATGACAGCAGCAGCAGTAGAAGAAGCAGAGATTACAGCAGCAGCAGCAGCAGCAGCAGAAGCAGAGATGACAGCAGCAGCAGTAGAAGAAGCAGAGATTACAGCAGCAGCAGCAGTAGAAGAAGCAGAGATTACAGCAGCAGCAGCAGCAGAGATGACAGCAGCAGCAGCAGCAGAAGCAGAGATGACAGCAGCAGCAGCGTGTAGCAACAGGAAAATGTAAACACAGCAGACATGCACGAGAAAGCCTTTTAGGACAGTAGATAATAAATACCTGTGACCATCCTACGCAGGCGCAGAGCTCTAGAGTATGTAGCTCTCGCATGAGGCACGCACGGAGGTGAAGCACTGCACAAGAGGCTTGGTTTGTGCCGGGACCAAAGAGCCAGAGCTCAACCCCCCTCCCACAAGCACAACTGGGTGAGCACACGCACATCACAAGGCAGGTTCACCAGCGGAGAGAAGCGAGGTAACCCTGAATACCTACCTAGAATACCTACCTAGGATACCTACCTAGAATACCTACCTAGGATACCTACCTAGGATACCTACCTACGCCGTCACTAAACAAGAAGCAAGCAAGAAAGCAAGGTGCTTGTTTAGGGCCCCAGAGTGAAGCAGGGACCCCCCCCCCATTAACCTTTGGACCCTAAAGGCATGAGCCTATTTTAAATAAAAGGGGCCCACCACGATTCTGAATGCCTAGGGACCACTAAAAGGGGGGTTACTTCAGCCCTGATTCAAAGGAGACATGGTCACAACGTGGAAAGTTTTATAAGATAACCTAGGGAACTAGATAAAAGAACAGCCCGTTTCCATTTAGATAAGCATGAGCGCGCGCGCGCACACACACACACACACACACACACACACACCAAGAAAGCTGTAATAAAATCCGTGGAATTTCACGATCATTTTCTCGTGAGGCAATTTGGTTGAGATTACAAGAGTCTGCGGTGGTGGTCGGTGGGTGCTGATGTACAGGTGTGTGTGTGTGTGTGTGTGTGTGTGTGTGTGTGTGTGTGTGTGTGTGTGTGTGTGTGTGTGTGTGTGTGTGTGTGTAACATGAGCGGACAGGCAACAATACGAAGCCAGTAAACACAAACCACTGTTTATAAAGCAATATGACACCATTTATCATAATACAGACTAGGTACGTGAGACCCGCACTAGAGCATGCAGCGCCACCATGCGACCCAAACTGGGAACAAGCGGAGAGAATGAAGTTTTATGCAGTATTATATATGCGGTATATGCAGTATTCCGGCAATCATGAGCAGGATGTATTGACAAAAGAGTGATGACTTCACAGAATCATTCTCTGAGGTGAACGACGGTGCCCAATCACACCCGTCACATCCCTGAGCCGTATAAAGATATCGAAGTAGTATATATTTCATTACATGGCTTTATAACCACTGAAGTTTACACACGAAGACAGATGATAGGCTAAAACAGTCACCATCTCAGCGTGGGTGGACTCTACACTGGTACAATAAAGTAAAAGGAGATATTAGATGTTTTAAGATTGTTGAAGGAGGCGGAGCGCGAGAGCTAGAGTCCCTTCCGACGCAGACGTAAATGGGCTACAACACCTGGCTCACCCCAAGGCCGCGTTCTGTCTCCGCAACTTTTTATCGGGATGACCGTAGACCTCTGTCAGGTCTTTACATACCGAACCCCACAGGTTGTTGTGTTCTGTTTTGTTAGCTGGACCTCCTCCACACGCACACGCACACGCGCACGCGCACACACACGCACACACGAGACAGGGTAGATAAAGACAGGTTATTTAACACAAGGGGCACACGCACAAGGGGACACAGGTGGAAACTGAGTGCCCAAATGAGCCACAGAGATATTAGAAAGAACTTTTTTACTGTCAGAGTGGTTGACAAATGGAATGCATTAGGCAGTGATGTGGTGGAGGCTGACTCCATACACAGTTTCAAGTGTAGATATGATAGAGCCCAATAGGCTCAGGAACCTGTACACCAGTTGATTGACAGTTGAGAGGCGGGACCAAAGAGCCAGAGCTCAACCCCCGCAAACACAACTAGGTAAGTACACACAATCCCTCAAAGATTTTAATTAAACTTTAAGTGACCTTGAGCTTAATCACTCACACATATAAACAGGTGTGATAACATAGCCTGGCGGCCCAGGCAAGTTATCTATCAACCCGTCGAGAGAGACGCAGAAACAGCCAGAAAATAATAGCGGAACCCTTTATGTTTCAATATATATTTTCAACCTTTAATGCAAAATCTTCCGGCCATGTTCCCGAGCGCTGTGAGCAGACTTGTGTCATTACGTTTGTTTGAAATCTGACCTTAAAATATGCAAATCAGATATTCTGAACTTAACAAGATTTATATATTGCTTTGGGTAATAGTGGGACCTTATAAGGCTGGTGTTGTTTTTGTGGGAGCCTCGAACCAGCACCCTGTGGTTGGTGTCTGTGCTGCCGGAGGTAGTCTCCTCGACGCTCACACTCCCATAACCTGCAGGGAGCAACTCACAATAGCGTGCTTGGACACAACACAACCCCCTCTTCCCCACACCTATGTCACGTGACCACCTGTCGGTCACGCGTGGACCCTTATAAGTAACGGTCCCATGTCACGACTTCTTACGGGCTATTCATGCCCGTGCCGCCTCTTGGGTGGCTTAATCTTTATCAATCAATCGTCACGACTTGATAAGGGTTCAAGACAGACCGAAACGTCCACGGGAGACATCTCCCGTCACGCAGGGTGCAGTCGCACCTCCACAGATCTCCAGTATCATCTATTGATACTTGAAATGGCTCAAAAGGGCCCCCACTTACGGGCTATTCATGCCCGTGCCACCTTTTGGGGTGGCTTAATCTTTATCAATCAATCAATCACCGAAACGTCGTTGTTTTCAGGTATTTTTGTGCACGTGTTGGGTTATCTACTCCCAAGCTTTAAACAAGTTTAACCTATTCACATGACACGGATTGTTGGTGGAGCAAAATAGTGTGACACCAGCTCGTCCAGCAGCACCTGGCTTGTTACCTGGGCAAGCACAGTAAATATTACTGTTTCTGCAACCCGTCCTCGACTCAAGTCCATTACATTCAGCGGTCAACCCCACAGACGCATTCATAAATTTTAACATGCTGTTCATTCAAAAAGGGAATTTTCTCAAGTATAAATTAATATTATAATATATTAGCATATTGTGTATATATAGGCATAGGATAGGTTAGGTTAGGTGTTTAGGTTCTGTTGGCGATTATTTGTATTTGTAGTACGTGGGTGAAGCATTTACAGCGTTGTGAGTCGTGTGTAAACCGCTTTTCATTCATAAACAGCCGGGGTTTGGCGGGTGCATGGAATCACTTTTGGGTCTTTGTTTGGAGGACGGGTTGGTTTCTGGGTTCAAGAGCTTGAAATCTGATCCATCAGTTTGGCTTCTGAATTGTGAATGAACCATTTATGGTCACACTGCAGTCCGTTCTCCAAACTAAGACGCAAAAGTGATTTCATGCACCCGCCAAACCCCAGCTGTTTATGAGTGAAAAACGGTTTACACACGACTCACAACTGATGACGTTCGAACACTTCCGGAACAAGTGCTTCACTGACGAATTGTGTTCGAATCACAACGCTGTAAATGCTTCACCCACGTACTACAAATACAAATAATCGCCAACAGAACCTAAACCCCTAACCTAACCTATGCCTATATATGCACAATATGTTATAATATTCATTTATATTTGAGAAAATTCCCGTTTTGAATGACCAGCATGTTAAAATTTATGAATGCGTCTGTGGGGTCGACCACTGGATGGAATGGACTCGAGTCGAGGACGGGTTGGAAATGTTGAAACGTTGTCAATTGAGTCGTAGGTAAAGCGTTTTCCACTGGTGAAGTTTGGCGGGTTCGTGTCCCTTTGGCCTTTATTGATGAGGACCGCTGTTATATTTACAATTTGTGGGTGAAATCTTTAAAGATGTTTACCACTGGTGCGAGTAGTGACCACCTGAACAAATCCACAAGGGCCGTGGCGAGGATTCGAACCTGCGTCTGGTTTGTGCCTCGGAGAGGCTACGGGATCTAGTAAGTTCAGTAGAACTTCGGTTTCAACCCTTTTACCCTGTCATAGCTCAGTCGATTAAGGCAGTGTCTGGGATGCTCCCGGACGCAGGTTCGAATCCTCGTCACGGCCCTTGTGGATTTGTTCATTTGATGCATCACGTTAGTGTGATGTGTGTGTGTAGTGACCACCTGCTCTCTTCTCTTGCAGCGTCGTCGCCGATGTCGTCGAGGAACTTCCCTCCGTCATTCTGGAACAGTAACTACCAGGTACCTTCGTCGTCGTCCCGGCCTCCTAGCCTGGCCGGCCACCTGGGGGCGTCGCCGGCCGAGCTCTACGACCCGTACCATGGGGGGCTGCACTCCCTCCAGCCCCCAGCGCCAGACCCATGGGCCGCTTATTCCTTATCTCAGCAGGTATGGTGTTCTACAACCCCCCCCCCCCACACACACACCCGTTCTCACAACCACACCTGTTTTAATTCCTACGCTTATTCTTGCTCACACTCTATGTCCTAATTCCCACACCTGTGTAAATACTAACACCTTTCCTAGGGTGTTATTGCCCACACATGTCCTAGTGCCACAGGTGTCCTGCTGTTCACATGAGCACATGGCAGTAAGCGCCATGCACTCCTTTCCCTCTCGTTTTTGAAGGGTCCTGAACCCCACCTGCCACACGTGTCCCAACACCACACCTGCCACACGTGTCCTGAACCCCAGACCTGCCACACGTGTCCTGAACCCCACACCTGCCACACGTGTCCTGAACCCCACACCTGCCACACGTGTCCTGAACCCCACACCTGCCACACGTGTCCCAACACCCACCGGGGCCGTCTCCACTCTCCTCCTGTCACTGAGCCTTTTTTTAATATTAACTGCAGTACATGTAATATTTGTAGACAGGAATGATGGTGATAGCAAGAGCAGATTAGTAAGTCTTAGTGGTAGGAATATGAGTGGTTATGGCTGTAGTGGTAATGCCTATTCTGAACCTCAGTAGTCACTTGGTTATTATAATACACAAAACTAGTTTTTTGTTTGTAAAAATGTTGGCTTGGGCTACCACTTAAGAGAATCAAGGAATATTGTTAAGGGTCTCGACTGTGTAACTTTGGTACGAGTTGTACCACTCTGATGCTTGATAAAGCTGTCACATTTGGCAAGTAATCAGTTATAATGAGGCGTTTACATCTACATATCCCGCCAGATAGGAAGGTGTCTCAGGTATACACAGTAGGTAATCTGGGGATCTGTTATGACAGATCATGCGCCTCAAGTATGACAAACATAAGTGTACTATTTTGCTCAAGCAATATCGCGCCTGGTACAGCCATGACAACTTATCCGTCCACAACACTTTAAAGGTCACGTAACCTAGTGTAGCCAATGGGGAGAGACCTGTGAAGTCATTTACAGGTATTTGCAACACAATAATAATTAGGCTGTGGCAGGTCACATGCCTATTTCAAGCCCTGTAAGCTTGACCAAACCAAAGTTTGAGCAGCAGCGATCTCTTGAGATGATTTCGGGGCTTTAGTGTCCCCGCGGCCCGGTCCTCGACCAGGCCTCCACCCCCAGGAAGCAGCCCGTGACAGCTGACTAACACCCAGGTACCTATTTTACTGCTAGGTAACAGGGGCATAGGATGAAAGAAACTCTGCCTATTGTTTCTCGCCGGCGCCTGGGATCGAACCCAGGACCACAGGATCACAAGTCCAGCGTTCTGTCCGCTCGGCCGACCGGCTCCCTCTATGATGAAGTAGGAGTTAGCAAGGCGCCACTAAGCAGACCTGGTCTTCGATAAAAAATTAAAATAGTGGAATACTGACTCAGTTGCGTGTTAAGCCGTGCGCCAGGAAGTTACTCCTCGGTGACCGTGGATGACGCGAGACGCTGTTGAAGACTGATTCTCTGGTCGTGTGAAGAACTCTGCAGCAAGTCATCCGGTGTGTGGAGGAGCAGCTGGAGTATGTGCGACATACTGCATTCTTCATGCCTGGCATATCAGCCATGTGAGTGCCCAGATAAGTGGGTGTACCGAGACTGGTGGAAGCCGGACCAGTCCTCTTAAATCACCCTTTATGTGCGAGTTGTGCTGCAATGTTGATGTTTCTCTCGACAGGTCACAGTCAACTGGACATACGCTAATTAAAAAGAGGAATCACCTAAGCGGCGGCCCACAATTGCAGCGAGTCATTTGTATGATATTCCAGCGTCAAGAAAATATTGACAAGCAGTTATTGAACATGCCTATTCAAAGTGAACATCGGCATCAGGTGAAAGAAAACATGCCGACCGTTCTTGTCCCGTCCGTGTTCAATCCCGGGTGGGACAGATATATAATATATATAATAATATATTTAGTATAATTTTTATTTCTTTTACGAGCTAAGGTTTCCTGCAGGAGAGTGAGAGCTTCACTGTGCAACAGTGAACAACAGACTCAGGTGCTGCTCACAAGAGTATTCCTGCACAAATGTACATATTTTGACTATTATCATCATAACCAGTTCGGTGATGGACTCGGCGAGAGTGAAATAATTATTCCTCTGTTATCTGTGTTATCAGTGCTTTCATAATATTTATTTTGCTGTACTCGTGCATTGTTAAGTCGCTGGTTGGTGCCAGGCGTCTCAACAATAACACAAATATAGTGTGTATTTAACTGACTAATAAATATTAATAAAAATTAGTCAGTTATATAATAACTGACTAAAATATGCCAATATTTCCGGTTAGTGTATGGCTTATACACTTTAAGTACTGCTTGTTTAAATAGTCAGTTTTGAACATTTATATTATAGGTCGAGATGACATATAAGAGTGATTACATGTGTGCTTCTCTACGGTGTAAGTCCTGGCTAGTCTCTAATTAGCTACAGTTAATAAGTTCCTTAAATGTCTACATATTTGTGTCACTGATGTGGGAGGGTTTATTTACAGATGTGTTAAGAGTCCAGTGTAGGGTTTGTTGGAAGGATTCATGATCTTGTTTTAGGGTTTGTGGGAGAGGCGAGTCACCTCGCTCCTCATATGTTAACCCTCCGTTGCTGGTACCCGTCGCCCTTACCTCAACCATCTGAAACGCGTCTCGCTAGGAGGTGTACACGCAAAGATGAACCAATAAAACCCAGGGCTGCGGGTTTAATCACATTGTATGACAGTGAGGGGGGTAGAAACAGCCTAAGCTACTCTATCCCTTTGAGATGTATTTCTTTCTTGTCTCAATAAACATACTTGAACTTGTACGACAGTACGACCATTCGTTACCGGACTACCTGGACTACAAGTAACATTATCTGCTGCCACAACCTCTCGCCACGTTACAACACCCGCCACCACCACCACCCCCCTAACTAACCGCAACTCCCTCCTGCCACCCCCTGCAGGCGTACAGCCACCGGAGCGTAGCGCACGACGTGTACCAGGCGGCAATGTCGTCAGTTCAGCCCTCGTCGCGCCCCTACCATCAGTACTCCTCCCTCTCCCTCCAGCCCCACCTGGGCAGGATCCCGGCCGTCACCGCCGTCGGAACACAGGTAAGTCGCTGCTAACTCACTCGCTTACTGTCATCACCGTAGTTTGGGGGTTACGGTACCTTACGACCATCTTGGTCGTAAGGTACCGGCACCAATGGTTTGGTGTTGGGATTAAGGCCTCTGGAGGAACATTAAGACCGCCACATTAGCTTACTGACCATCCAGCAAGTATACTTTAGTCCTCAATATAGTCTAGGAGTAAAGTTAACTCAGTATCGTTCGAGAAGCGGGTTTAACCTCTCAGTGTACATACATTTATTTACTATGCACCCCATATCCATCCTGTGGGCGGTAGATACCATATTCTAAATTGCTTGGTTGAAATTGAAATTGAAATAAGTTTATTGAGGTAAAATACACACAAAGGGATGAGGTAGCTCAAGCTATTTCGCCCCGTTCAGTACATCGTGTTAATACATACATAGACACACATCACAAACAATAAACATATTACCAAACATTCTGAGAGATAAACATCTACATTTCCTCCATTACACAAGTAGTATGGTACTAGACGTACACAAATACTTTTATGATCTAGGTATACTGTATAGACAATTTAAGAGGGGGGTAGAAATAGCCTAAGCTACTCTATCCCTTTGAGATGTATTTCTTGCTTATCTCAATAAACATACTTGAACTTGACAATTTAAGAAACACACGTTTATTGATTTTTTATTTCGTTCACTAGGATAACCGGAGATTCAAAACTGAGCCTTAAAGTATGAGACCGTTGGTTTCAAAAGTATGAGACCGTTGGTTTCAAAAGTATGAGACCGTTGGTTTCAAAAGTATGAGACCGTTGGTTTCAAAAGTATGAGACCGTTGGTTTCAAACGTACGAGACCGTTGGTTTGTACTGTTGAACACACAGTTCAAATCTCCGATGAGTCTTGTGAATTTAATGTTATTACTCACGGTATTGTAGTTTGCAACTGATCCTTTTATTATATACCTGTTTTACAAATTATTAATAATTTCCATTAATGGCAGCTCTTCCGTCTCCAGAACTATCGTGGACACACCTCTCACGGCTCCTGTTGACTTGCTTTTATTAAACTGCGAAAACAGCCTTTGTTTTAACTGGTGACTAGATTGTTGAGTATTTTGTTGCTTGTTTGGTGATCTGATTGAGCAAGTCTGTACACTGTACAAGCCTGCAACACTGTACAGGCCTGTACTGTAGCACTAATCAACAAACACTGCATCGGATACACAATGAGATCACAATAAGATGACATTTCTATGACTTGGTTAATAACGATTATAACGGAAATAGCCGGAGCCGGTCGGCCAGCACACTGGACTTGTGATCCTGTGGTCCTGGGTTCGATCCCAGGCGCCGGCGAGAAACAATGGGCAGAGTTTCTTTCAGTTTTTAAATATGTTCCGAAATATCTATCCCCCCCCCCCAAAAAAAAAAAGTATGCCCTGTTACCTAGCAGTAAAATAGGTACCTGGGTGTTAGTCAGCTGTCACGGGCTGCTTCCTGGGGGAGGAGGCCTGGTCGAGGACCGGGCCGCGGGGACACTAAAGCCCCGAAATCATCTCAAGATAACCTGAAGATAACGTTATTGTGACTCATCGCCTGCCGAGACATTCTTGGTCACACCACATCCGTCTCTGTCTCTAGTCCGGTCACATTGTCACATCTCCACTGACTCCCACACCACACAGTCTGACTCGCCAGTATTAATATAATTCATAATTTTAATTCATTGTGTCGGGGGACAGGCAGCCAGAGTGTATTCATACACGTTAGGTTTATATCGAGGTCCCCCTCCCCCCCAAAGGCCGAATTACTGACCCCGCCCAGGATGCAACCCCACAACAAGCGGACTAACTCCTGAATACCTACTTACTGCTAGGTGAACAGAGGCATTAGGTGAAAGGAAATGTTCCCCAACCACTTTTGGGCCACCGGGATTTATTTAATATATATATTTAAATTTATGGATATTTATATATCCTATTACTGTATATATTTATATATCGGCCGCCAATTTATATCCATATATACATTCATTTATATTTGCCTCCACACAAACTCTGCTCCAGAGCAACTATTCCTTTCCCCCGTCCCATCCCAAATCCTTATCCTGATTGATTGATGAAGATTAAGCCACCTAAAAGGTGGCACGGGCATGAATAGCCCGTAAACCTTATCCTGACCCCTTCCCAGTGCTATATAGTCGTAATGACTTGGCACTTTCCCCTGATCGTTCCCTCCCTCCCACACACACACCAAAGAGACCAAAGAGCCAGAGCTCAACCCCCGCAAGCACAACTAGGTGAGTACACACCTATGCCTCCTCCTGTATACAATGTAGTTCTTCGCGGTTCCAGAATGCCAAGTCCTTCTGAAACATCTTGTACTTGGCTCCCGCTACCCGTGTAGGCTCAGGGATGTCGCCCTCGAGCCTGGGGCATTAGACTAGGCTAGTCCGGTCCGGTGACGTTGTCTAACCTATGCTGTTCTAACAGATGGGGATGGCCAAGCCCGAGACCTGGGGAGCGAGGTACCACGAAGCCTTCTCAAGTCCAGAGTTCTCCCACAGTCTCGACACCAACTACTCTACCCCCCACTACACTAATGTCCCAGGTGAGTGTCCATGTCCCAGGTGAGTGTCCATACCCGTGTCCCAGGTGAGTGTCCATACCCGTGTCCCAGGTGAGTGTCCATACCCGTGTCCCAGGTGAGTGTCCATACCCGTGTCCCAGGTGAGTGGTCGTACCCGTGTCCCAGGTGAGTGTCCATACCCGTGTCCCAGGTGAGTGTCCATACCCGTGTCCCAGGTGAGTGTCCATACCCGTGTCCCAGGTGAGTGGCCATACCCGTGTCCCAGGTGAGTTGCCATACCCGTGTCCCGGGTGAGTGTCCATGTCCCCAGTGCCCCAGGTGAGTGAGTGCCCAAGAGCTGAAGATCAGGTAGATTGATGGATGAAGATTAAGACACCCAAGAGGTGGCACGGGCATGAATAGCCCGTAAGAACATCAGGTACAGTACTTGGTTTGCTTATACTACTCATTTCGGTTAAATTTATCTCCTCATTTTGTTTTGTCACTCGCTACTTTATTGAATAAGTTAGATTTAAGATTAGATTGATAGATAGATTGAATAAGTTAGATAGAATAAGATTTACAATTGGGAAGAAACACAAGAGTTGCAATACACCAAGTTGGGGGTCTGCAACTTGCAGGTTCCCGAGAGAACCACGTTAGTAGTGGTAGAGGAGACATATACAGCTGTGTAACTTGGAAGGCCGGTGGCTAAGTAAGTAATTATCAAAAGAAGGCACCAAACCGGGAAGGCTATGTAGCACCATCAAAGGCCGGTGGATAAGGCTTAGGCAGCAAGACGGGTCAACGCATACCACAAACACGATTCAGAATTACATCAAGAATTCTGGTAGATGGTAACAGCCCCATAAGTGAAAGTGGTAGGAGTAGTTAAGGGCGTAAGACTTATAGATTGGAAACAAACGAGAATTTAATTATCTGAGTGTGAAAGAAGGTCCAGTTTAAGTGGGAACACTTTGGGCGATCACTGAAATTTTAGATTTTCCAAAACTATATTGTTTGTTGTATTACTAATAAATTCCCCCCCCCCCAGGCTAAGCTGAGCAAAACTACGTTAAAGTAATCAGGATTGATAACGCTTGATCCAACACTGATTAAACCTTGCTAAGTACTGTACACGACAGTGTGCTGATGTGTCAAGTTACATGCCAGTGTCATACCCGGAATATTATGTGGACTGTAACTCTCCAGTTAAGTGTGTTCAAATAAAATTTTGAAATCATGCAAGAGTTTACATTAACTGAAGTACAAGAAGTAATGTGGAGGCAGTACAATACAACCATGCTACAGGGTCATTAAATACAGGATACTATAACAGTAACAAGGTCATTAAAGTGTAATAAGAAAATATTAGACAACGGGAAAGACCCTCGTGGAACCCACTATTAAGTCTCTAAGGCACAAGTTGAGCGACCCACAAAAAGAGATGAATAGATTGACAAGAGTGTAGAACCAAGGGAGAGTAGAGCCTTGTGAAGCCCTATATAGAAACCCTAAACCCTATATAGAGCCTATATATTGTGAAACCCTATATAGAGCCTATATATTGTGAAACCCTATATAGAGCCTTATAGAAACCCTATAATTCACTAAATATCAAGAGCTATGTCTGAATAATTGCTGTGATCTCTTGGAACATTGTTGAACTCCTCGGTGGCATATGGGGTCCTTTACTTGGTGCTGCCTAGGCTGACACCTGTTATTGTTTGACCAAGTTTCCTTACGTCTGACGCCTCTGTTTACCTACAAGAGCTGTAAATAGTCACACGAGTTATAGACGACTGTTGTGGGTTATATCCTGGGAAGGTTGGTTGTTGACTTAGGGGTGACTTCTGCAACGCTAATAGTCTTGTTATTCCTGACATTGGGAAACCAAATGCTTTTCCTCTATACGAAACACTGATCTCCGTGTACCAATATTGGCACTGAATGCATCAATATTCAAATTCTTAGAATTATTCCTCCAACTCTCGCAAAGTCTGTCCTTCCTTACAGGCAGCCCACCGGCCTTGTTTAGCGCTCCTCATACTTCATATCTGCCTTATAAATCTTATCTTTAAGAAAAAGAGAGCAAGACTTATCTTCCTCTCCTAAATTACAGTAGTGTTTTCAAGTGTAAAATTGTCTTTACTGTTGAATTTTGAGTTCACATTTGCATTTCCTTCCAGGTCTGGAGACGGGAGTGCCACAGGAGGGTGCAAAGGACCTCTATTGGTTTTAAAGGCTCATCAGGATGCTGTGAAATGGTGTGAAGTAATCAGGTGTGTGGAGGCAAGTGCCATTATGATGGTCGCCCCTAACTCCCAGAGTCAGCAAGTTATTCTTGTATACAAGTGTTGAAATACTCTAATGACAAAGCATTTGAGTGCTACTGACAAGTGTTCACATGGATTATTCAACTTGCACACTGAAATCACAAGAACATAGTGAATATACAAATTCAGGGTTGACAGTACTAACACAACTGCGAATAAGGACGTTCATTAAGCGCCAGCAGTGTGACCTATCTGGTACAGGCGGCTTAACGTTTCTGCCAACGTCAAGATGAAAAAGAAACCTCATTTCTTACGAAGATGAGCCCAATCACACAAAGGTGCTAGCATGGTGTCAAATATGCAATTATTGCGATAGCTCTTCTGTATTTTTTTTTGTTCGACTATGAATGTACAAACTGGATTTTTTATTCAACTTGCTAATGCTTTAATCTATTTTGTTAGGTTAATTGTACAGTTTTGTTCTCATTTGCTGTATCCATAGTTGCACTCTTAGTTGGAGTAGCAAACTCCAGCCTGGGCCAGATTCACGAAAGAACTTACGCAAGCTCTTACGAACGTGTACATCTTTCCTCAATCTTTGACGCCTTTGGTTACATTTATTAAACAGTTTACAAGCATGAAAACTTCCCAATCAACTGTTGTTATTGTTATAAACAGCCTCCTGGTGCTTCGGAGCTCATTAACTGTTTAATAATTGAAAACAAAGGTGCCATAGATTGAGAAAAAAGATGTACAGGTTCGTAAGTGCTTGCGTAAGTGCTTTCGTGAATCTGGCCCCAGGTGCATCTACTGGATGGACACTCCTCCCGCCAGGCTGCCTTTGACTCTGTTGTTGCACTTATAGTTACCATCACTCTAGACTGTGTACTCTTAAAGAGTTCCTGATGCCACATGACTTTCCTACTGGTTTACCTTATTTGGTTTTGTTTAGTTACTTCTCCAGCCATCTTTAATGTTTTCATGCCTGTTATCACTGAAGACTGTCCTATTATTGTTATGGGCACAGATTATTTGACTAGGAACATACCACCACTACACTACTCTACTTGAAACGTACATCTATTTTGTCAGCCTATTTGAGCGTGTAAGTTAGAGGTACCTTTCATACGAGCATGTCCTAGGGGAGGTACCTTTCATACGAGCATGTCCTAGGGAGGTACCTTTCATACAAGCATGTCCTAGGGAGGTACCTTGCACTAGGAGTGTCACCATATTTGTATTTAATGCATTAGTGTATGCAACCAAGGACTATTAACATATCATTTACTAATATATATATATATATCACTGGGAAACAAGCAGACTCTGCTAGCTTTGATGTAAATATGACATATCTGGAATTCTCATTATCAACTAATATTTATTTAAATTAAATTGTTTTTATTTTAATTTATTTATCTTATGCTAAGACAAAGAATTCCAAGGATATAAGGAACATGAGAGTAAATGGGTGTATATAGTGTGTTGTTGTCAGTGTTGAACCTGTGTGAATAATTATCCATTTACATCTCTACATGGAGAAAGTCCCATGCTCCTTCCCTGCCTGCCCCCCATGCTCCTCCCTAGCCTGACCCCATGCTCCTCCCTAGCCTGCCCCCATGCTCCTCCCTAGCCTGACCCCATGCTCCTCCCTAGCCTGCCCCCATGCTCCTCCCTAGCCTGACCCCATGCTCCTCCCTAGCCTGCCCCCATGCTCCTCCCTAGCCTGACCCCATGCTCCTCCCTAGCCTGCCCCCATGCTCCTCCCTAGCCTGACCCCATGCTCCTCCCTAGCCTGCCCCCATGCTCCTCCCTAGCCTGACCCCATGCTCCTCCCTAGCCTGACCCCATGCTCCTCCCTAGCCTGACCCCGTGCTCCTCCCTAGCCTGCCCCCATGCTCCTTCCTAGCCTGACCCTCACTCCTCCTTAGCCTGAAGTGGTAGATTATCAAGATACCATTTGGTACAAAGGCAGGTCATGCAGCTTGGTATCAAAGCTTAGCATGCTGACAGTTTACCAAGAAATACTATGATATGTTACGGTATCCAAGTAAATGTCGGAAAAGTTTTTGATGAAAATACAGTATGCAGTACTGAAAATGAATCATGGTTTCCAGACCTGTCATCACCATGTTCTGTACTGGCAAGATGTGTACATCAGCATATTAGGCGTGTTCTTCCAATTCTATAACAAATTATTATTATGCCATTTATGTTCTTGGGGTGGGGAGGGGGAATACATTATTTTCCTTAGTAAATGATGTTCACCTAAATATATATATTATCCTAAACAATGACTCACAGTAGTACTGCTAGATTGGGTTATATTTTTACTAAATAAAATAGAGCAGTAGTTGAAATAAATGTTTATGGTATGAATGGAAGATCAGAATCAAAAGGCACACACTAAAAAGACTGCATGCCCAAAAAACAGTGTTTAAATGTATGAGGGTCAGCCACAGTACTAAGTACTGTACTTATACCATGATATAAACACAGTACCATGGGTGGTTGATTTTGCCAGTTTGAAAATAAAGGCTAGTAATTGTGCTGTGATTTTGAAAATGAGTGATAATACCATAATAAATCATAGTGTTCGGAATCACCCGAGTAGAGTGAGTTTTCTGCCTAAGCATAGTGTCAGCAGGGAGATTTGTCCCCTAATCATGGTGCCAGCAGGGAGAGTGGTTTCGTAATCATGGTGCCAGCAGGGAGAGTGGTCCCCCCTAAGCATGGTGCCAGCAGGGAGAGTGGTTTCCTAAGCATGGTGCCAGCAGGGAGATTTGTCCCCTAATGGTGCCAGCAGGGAGAGTGGTCCCCCTAAGCATGGTGCCAGCAGGGAGAGTGGTCCCCCTAAGCATGGTGCCAGCAGGGAGAGTGGTCCCCCTGAGCATTGTGCCAGCAGGGAGAGTGGTCCCCTAATCATGGTGCTGCTTGTATCAAGTAGTGCAGGCAGCAACAGCTGGAGCATTAGAACATGTGTCATGAGGGAGAAGTGTGGCCACACTGTACAGTACCACAAGTGCCTCTCTGGTGGATATTTCAACCAGTCTCCGTTGTGTGGAGCTGTGATGGGTGTCACTCAAGATACCAAAATATACATAATCAGGCTATTAGAATTTTGTGTGATAAATTTAATGTAACCTGATTTTTTTATTTTGTTAGACAAGTTGAAAAAAAAATAAAATTTAATGGTTTCTGTCATGCCGACAAATGACCTATTTTTTTGCCGTTTGTGTTTTATACATTCGTATAAATGGTGCTAAATACCAATAAGTAAATCATAGTTATAGATTGTAATCCATGACTTATTATAAACCTTGACAGGTTGTGAAAACCGTATTTGATGCATTTGAACTACATCCTAATGTTTGTGCTCATAGCTTTGTGAGCAAAGCAGCGATGTTCGTGTTCATGGCGTTATGAGCAAAGCACCGATCTTCATGTTTATGAAAAACATGGCATCCTGTATTAATGCATGTATTCATGAATTTAAAAGCACTGAGCTACTTACTGTTTGTGTTTGATGTCATCGTGTAATAGTACTGTGCTGGTGTTAGAAACACTGAGTGCTACAATGATATTTGTGGTGATAATGTAGGAGTAATGAACTGATATTGGTGATATCATGTACTGCATTTTATTGTATTGTATTGATATCACATGTACTGCATGTCCGAGTCTCAGGTTGAATGGAATAAGGGAGTATGTGCTGTTTATCAGCAACGTTTGTAAATAAATGAATGGTGTTTATTAAAATTTGTTTCTCTGCCTTTTGTCCTCAAGCTAAAAATAGTTTCATTTATAGGTGGATAATTTGATTACTTTAAAAATAAAAAATGTTAATCTAAGATAGCCATATAGGACTGTTACATAACACAATACAATAACTTTGTGTTACTGGGTAGTATTTGTTTATATGTATGCCCAAACTATAGAAAATTGCTGTTATTCCCCCTCGAACTTTGCTTTGACCTATGCCTCAGACAGTTTATGGAAGACATGAACAAATCCACAAGGGCCGTGACGAGGATTCGAACCTACGTCCAAGAGCATCCCTGACTGTATGGAAGACATCTTGAAGGTCCATGAAGGCTGTCAATGCTGTGACACTTTCATGTCTGCTGCCTTCAGGTGCCTTGAAGATGTCTTCCTAAAGCTGTCTGAGGCAGAAGTCAAAGCAAGGTTTTCAGGGGGAAATAATAGCCAAAATAGGTACAGTATAAACAATCAGAAAATAAGTTACAGCCCAAGAACTAAAAATATTTGTTAAGCAGTGTAAGTAGTTTTCAAAAGAGGGTGCCAAGTCTGTTTACCTGCTAACGCATTGTAATATTCAACAGTTCCGAGATATCATCAGGATGCAAACAATGAGACAACTGTTAGGTATTACCAAAAGGCACCAAGCCATGTAGACTATTCAACACCATCTGTGGCACATAATTGTAAAAAATTCCTAGATAATACTCAAGTAGCTAATGCAAGATAAAAAAAAAAATAGCAACGTCAAATAGGTTTATTAACCAGAGTTCAAGAGACAACCAATTCAAAGAAATGCTGAAAAAACAAAATTACCGATCATTCTAAAAATCAAGCCAGTAATCTGAGCAATTAACAGAACAAGACAGGTCTGACATGTGCGTGTGGGGCTGTTTTAACAAGTGACCACGAGTTATTCTTGTGTGGCCAATACAGTAATATAACTCGGCCAGAAATGTTTTCCAACGTCCCATTTTGGTGAGAGGAGGAAGACCACTGAAATAGGTCACATTTTATAGATACTAAAATAATAAATTACATACCGTATCTCTCCAGCAGTTGCACATCCCATTATTAATAACAGGTAGGGTAGAAATCAGTAAGGAATTTGTTTTCAGGAGATGGCATAGACTTCTTTCAAAGCATCGTATGCAAGGACCCTGGAGACGAGACCAGTATGGCTGGGAACTCTACAAAACTTGACTGGCTTATACCTGCTAAAGATACAACCAATGTTGAATTTTATCAAATTGCAAGCAATATAATTAAAAGACATTTAGGCTCATGAAAGGTCTGAGTTAATTACAATAGAAAACAATTATTGGCAGACAAGAAACTGAAGGGGGAACAAATATTTAGAGGTTAATAGAGAAAAAATATAAATTTGGAGTTGAACTCGGTGCAACTCTACAAGCTAGTCAAACTATAGTGTTAGGCAGGAATATGCCAAAACAGAACTCATGGGCAACTCAATTAGAGGTTACAAAAGGACTGGGAAATTGTAAGGAGGAAATGA